TTGCTCTATCTAAAGTCTCATGTATTAGCTGAATATTTTCAATTACCTGCATCAGGTCAAGAGAACTGGAAAAATAAATTAATTTTTGAAAATATTCATACCAAGTTGTATTGGAAATAGTGCTTTAGTACCAGTGTTTGGATTCTTTACAATAGCGCCAGAAAGTTGTGTATTCATGGAGAATAATGCAGATAAAAGGTTAATTTATGTTTTCATATTGTGTTTGGTTGATTTTGTACGACAGTTATACCTTTATTTTCAAAGAATTTATAATCCTCAAGTGATTGACTTGTGCCTTTTAATCAGAACTTTCTTAAATATCTTACGGCGTTGCTCTTTTTGGGGTTTTGCATTCTCTGTCAAACCTAGGCTGACATTTAGCAAATCTTCTCGGAGATGTCACATCTTGGCTTTGCTTTACATTGTCTTCGTTGTGTTTGCTGCATCGTGGAAAATAACAGTAATTGCTTCGACACATTCGTTGAATTTGTTTTTGTTTATATCATTTCAATCTTATCCACATTTTCAGATAATATATCTTTGCAATTTTTATATAAAAGACAGACTTTCTTTTTTGCTCATTTGCAATTTTGGATAACATATAGACCTTTATCATTGTTCCATATGTATTCATCTATTTTCGTTATCCCCAGAGACACATAAAACTTTTTGCTCCAGTTTGCACATGAAGTCAAAGTAAAATACAAGGGGCATATGTATTGATTCAGTAAATCATATATGTCAATGGATGATATATTTTGTAAACATCATGGTTAGCTAAAAAATAATTTAATGCTGAAGCCGAGTTTCCATTTAAATTTCCCTTTATCATATCCACGTCTACCATTGGCTATCCTCAGTTAAATGCTTGATTTAATTCAATAATGCTTTTTGATAAAACCTAGCTCCGTATCAGTATAGTTATTAAAATCACTCTCAATTATTATTTTATAGTCAGCATATTTTATTTTTTAGAAAAGCTGCCTTATTTTATACCACCTTATATACTTTGTCTTTGGAATGAACAGAGGATTATTCAGGTGACAAAACCAAAAGTTAAGCTCCTTGTCAGTATTCTAACCTTAGACGATACAACTGATCAGTTAATATTTTTAGAAACTTTTTTCTCTAGAACACACGGTACTAATTCAATGGAAGAACTGTGAACCAGTCTAAAAATGGGTGAAGAAATAATAGAGTATTTACGGGTTTGGTGGTCCATAATTGGTTAATAATGAAAAGTAAAATTTTTATTAAAAATATCTTTTGAAAGCTTATCCTATGTGCACTTTAAAAAAAATATAGACACATTTCTATTGATGCAATTTTAGTATTTTTAAAGACTTGACTTAGGATTACTCAATAATGAAAGTAGCACTTGATTCGCTTGGTGCTGGATCAATAACATGGACTTCATGCATATGTAGGTCAAAAAAATGCCGCGGCTCATATGGTGTTCTCCACACAGAAGCTTGCACCAAGGATATTTGTGCATGGAGAAATATATGTCTGATCATCAGTACCCAGAAATTTTAAGTTATTGAATTTTAAATATGATGGTGTTTCCATATGTTTACTATGGGAATTGAATTAGTACCGTGACTCCTCTAGCTATATTGAAATGCTCGCAGAGGGGTTCACGAACAAACACAGAGACTCCCCCAACCAAAATAAAAATGTTTTACGTGATTGTAATTTGATTCTTGCCATATCAAGTCTTTTGTCACCGTTAATGATAAACTTGTCGATAGTTTCCGCACATGTTTCAAATAAAGTCATTATATTACAGTTTTTAACATAGCTATTAAAATCAGACCTTTTCTCTATAGAAAGTTTCTCACTTAAACCAGAAGATATATTCCATACCAAACACCCTAACAGAGACGTTGAATAGATCTCTTCATACACATTGTCCAGGCCTCGGCCGGTCTGAAATAATTACGTGAAACCGTCTATTATTAATTTGTCATATTTACAAAGAGTTTTTGTTTCCCTTATTCAAATGGATATTTCGATGTCGGGTAACGGTTGGCACAAGCTGTTCTCAATCTGAATGGAAATTCAACAGCTAACTAGTCTGCTAGCTGCCGCTGTATCTTCATTCTTAGCCGTAGTCCTAGCGGCTGCTCCAAGTGTTTCGTTCATTCTTTTTTCATTTTTGCGTTTCAACACTTTGTCTTTATATTTTGAAAATTTGACAATTACGGTTCTTGTGTTTTATTTTGATCTTAGTCGATGGGCTCTTTTAACTTTTATCCTCTCTGAAACTAAATAAAGTGCATCCCTCATATACACTTTAATTGAGTTTTCTGTACACTCCCACACTCTTTGTGGATTTCACACACATACACACACATACACACACACACACACACATCAAGATTCTCTCGACTGGATCACGCCTCTTGTTGCTCGAGATTTTGTTCGTTCTACAGAAATCGTGTTCCCTATTCGTTAACTTGCTCCGTCAAGTTCACAATTTTCTTGCACATGACCATATTCTGATTTGTCTGCAATTCATTTTTATTTTTCAGCTCATCTTTGGAACACTCAGTAGATGTAAATCCTTCATTAAGTTTTCTTTCTTCATTTCTTATCTTCATCATTATATTTGTAAAGCTTGAATCCATTATTTGTGCAGTTTCTATTAAGATATCATCATTCAGATCATCTCTTTCTCTCACAGAATTTTCTGAGGCACATGAGTTCTAGTGCGCTAGTACAATAACACTAGCCTAAATTGGACATCAAAGATTAGACTGAGTGTTACCCATCCACGTCAATAACGTGCACAAACACACACATACACATATGTATGTGTGTGTGCCTAAACTAGCGAAGAGTGTCGGAGTTTCAATATATATATATATATATATATATATATATATATATATATATATATATATATATATATATATATATATATATATATATAGATTAATACAAACAATACTCAATACTATCATACAGGTTAGAGAAATGACATTCGTACTCTACAGAGTTTCGAACCCAGGTCCGCGAGTAAATGGCACCCATCGCCTTGCCTGCACGCACAAACCCATATACCGTCACGTCTAAGCACGCATCACCAAAAAATGATAGCTCTGAATCGGTGTTATATGAGCTCGTGCGTAGCAGACACACTCGCATGACGACCTAGTAAATAATTCTTTTATATATATATATATATATATATATATATATATATATATATATATATATATATATATATATATATATATATATATATATATATATATACACACAATCGTTCCAGATTCCATTGAAAGAAATCAAGGTGTATAGGATTTTTGTATTAAAAAGAATTATAAATATATACCAGACAGAACAGTCTATGCAATGCCCTGTCTCAAGGAAAATGTAAATAAAAAAGTAAGTAAATAAATAAATGAGACATGATTAATGGCATGGTAGATTCACAAAGAAAATTCCATACTGCACGAGTTCAAAGGTCTTTTAGGATTCGTAATTTAATCTATGCAAATAAGAATGACAACTCCAATACAACGAAGTATTCTAGTTCGTTTATTTTTTTCTGAATTATTTAGGGAAGAACATTTCTAGGTATTAGGTTTCTAAATGAAAGTTACATCCAATTTTATATATGAGTAGAATATTTTATTTTTTTTAATATAAAAATGCCAAAAAACAAAAACTTACAGAATTACCTGTTTGTAAATTTCCCCAAGTCAGTTATGCAGTTGTGTCGACTCTGACCACATGTTAGACTGATTACATTTAGTCTTTTGGTGTTAAAGGCAATTTTAACACTTTTTTGGCGTTGTCCCACAGAGGAACTGGCAGTTAAGTGCCATTTCTGAGTATATGCTGAGGCTTCTATTACGGTCTGGCGACCCCTGGATTACCAGCATTTCCACCACGGCTGGTTCTGGCAAGATATAAGGTGTAGTAACAATCCAGAGAATTGATACAGTTATAATAATTTTGTGTTTGAAATGGAATCCGACATCAAAGACGATAAAAATGATGCGGTTATTTCTTTGAGTTAACATCAGTGATGTAAATAAATGAATTAAGAAAATGTTGAAAGTAACATAGCAAAATGTGTTTGCGGTGGATAATTTACGGTAAACAGGTCATCTAACCTTTTACAAAACGCCAGGCTATGTCAAAACATCAGTAAAGTACGATGCACAGTCTAATCAACATCTAACTAAGCACAAGGCATCACATCATTTAGAGTTCAATACCCTTCAATTAATATCTGCGATAAACATGCACTGCCAGAAACTCTATGTATCATGATGTTTCATATACATTTGGATTCAAGAAATGTATACCTTTCCTTGATAACAAGACCGAAACATATCCCATCAAAAGCTTTCGAAACATCAACAAATAAGCCATAAAATCTACCACCCTCTTTTGATAAATGCTTATGTACAATTGACTGTACAGCAAATATATGGTCTACTGTTGAATACCTTTTGCAAATTCTCGTTTGTATACTATTTTTATCATCAAGCTACATTCTCAATAGAGTATTCATATCTTTTATCAAATTGTAAACAAAGCACATATTAAAGAAATACCTCTATGATTATTCGGATTCTGTACAATTGAGCCTTTAGTATCAAATCTACAAAAATACAAAATACTAATTTTATGATGATTAATATGTGTGTGTGTGTGCGTGTGTAATATGGATTTTTAACGTAGCTTTAACAATTTTTTCAGTCATATCACTATGACGTCTGCAGTGTGGCTGTTTATATTGATGTCTAGCACTGGGGCATCATGCTGCAACATGTAGCATGATGTCCCACCAAGTCACATTATTCTGACACCAGGCATATCAGTCCTAACACTAATCTCTTAATGCAGAGCGCCTAGCGAGGCAGCAGTTAGAATCATTTTATAAGTCTTTGGGATGACTAAGCGGGGGTTCGAATCCACGACTGTCGTGTTCTAAAATCAGTGCTATACAGTAATATAGGTTTTCCCACTGCTGGAGAACCGCTCCGGTGGCCTAGTGGTTAGAGCGTCCGCCTCAGATGCGTGAGGTCGTTGTCTGAATACCCGGTCGAGGCATACCAAAGACTTACAAAAATGGTACTAACAGCTGCCTCGCTTGACTATCAGCATTAAGAGGTTAGTGTTAGGACTGGTCGGCCTGGTGTCAGGATAATGTGACTGGGTGGGACATCATGCTACATGTCTGCAGCATGATGCCCCAGTGCTAGACATCACTATAAACTGCCACACTGCAGACATCGTAGACATATGAATGAAAAATTGTTAAAGCTACGTTAAAAATCATAATCACATGACATCACATTTTTCCACTGCTGGAGCAACATGATAGAGGTCGCAGATAAGGTTGACATATAAAGTGCTAGATGTAGGTCAGATAAGCAAATCAAGTACAATTTGTATGCTATGGAATAAATATGTGTTTGTTGAAACATGTCTTTTCCTTTCTCATTACAAAACCAAGACAATACAATGGCCACGATGATATGGTTGAAATGCTGAGGGAAGAATAAGGCTAGTTGTGTCATCGTACTTAGAGAATTATTACAGACCTGCTACCGTGTTATACACTTGTAGTGAAATTCTATCTTTCAAAATGGCAGCAAGTTTGCCTATTTTTCAACCATTCGCAGTCCATGAAAACGCACCTGATTTTCGATGGAAGAAGTGGGTGAAACGACTTGATAACCTTCTGATTGGAATTGACATCAGAGACACAAAACTATCACGTGCATTGCTTTTACACTATGCAGGAGAGGAAGTAATATTTTTGAAACCCTACAAGAGACAGATGATTATCCAACCGCCGTCAAAACGTTGACAGACTATTTCGCACCAAAGAAGAAGCACGAATTTGAAATCTACAAATTTACTCCAAGAAAAACAACAAAATGAACAATCGATTGGTGATTTCCACACCAATTTAAGGCAGATTTCAGCAACGTGCGACTTCAATGATGTCAACAAAAAAATAAAGTCAAAAATAATTCAAGGATGGTTGTCAACACGTCTTAGACTCCGTGCACTTCGTGAAAAGATGGACCTAATAGATCTTTTTGCACTTGCCCGTGCCATGGAACTCTCTCAAAGACAAGCAACAGAAATAGAAAAATCCGAAAGAGACAATGCCAATGCCATAAGAAAGCGAAGGACACCGAGTCGTCGCAGAACCAAGATGCATTTCATGGAGAAAGCTAAATGCGGCAACAAACAACAATAAAGAAACCAAACATGCAGAAATTGTGGTGGCGAATATCCACACAAAGATAGTCAGTGCCCTATCAATCTATCTATCTATCTATCTATCTATCTATCTATCTATCTATCTATCTATCTATCTATCTATCTATCTATCTATCTATCTATCTATCTATCTATCTATCTATCTATCTATCTATCTATCTATCTGTCTGTCTCAAATGTTCCCAGCTACGACCTAGCTCTATCATATGATATCTACTTGCAGTACAAAATTATCTCTGACAAATAATTTTTCAAAATTCTTGTTTATATACAATCTGCTTTAATAGCTCTGAACTTGCTTTTCACTGCCAGTTAGCACGTGTGCAATAGTAAAGTTCACTCGGACTAGTTGCTGCGCAGGTTGGTGGATTCTAAACTCGTTTTCTCAATATTCACGCTTAGAAATAATTATTCTATTTCTAATCTTCTTTTGCAATCAATAAACTTTCATTATTCAGATGATGCACTTCAATAGATCTCAGCACTGCATAACAAAAACAGACTGGATCGGTACATAACATGCACGGCACTGGTTGAATAGCATTTTCGCTTAATACAGTATAATTAGTACACTCGCTTTTGGGTGGGATAAATTACAAACTTCATTTTTATTAATACTGTGTTTAGACACGATAATCCTAAAATAAGAAACAGAAAGAAGTGAAACCAGCAAGTTGTGTAAAACTCTCCTGTCAGCTACGGACAAAAGTCGAATCCATAATAAAAGCTAAATATATATAAGAATTTATATTTTTAATATTGTTTCTAGCGCATCAGCTGTCTGTTAGTGTTATTACTGGTTTTACTTCATATGAAGTGGAATACCTTCGTAACCCGAATTCACTTATCTAAATTTACAACAAATATTATGTTTAAATGCATTAGGCATGCTTGTCTCCTGGATATTTTATTTGTTTTATTTCTACGTGCATCTAATAAAGCAGAGAAGACAAAATATGAGTCGTCTGCATGAAATATTTGCAGTGTTTGGTTATAACATTTGTCAAGCAAATTGAACGAAATGAAAAAAAAAGCATTAAACGGGGTGTAACTCAAATTTACTGAATTATTCAGAACATATCGAAGACGGTGAACTGCAACACTCCTGTTGTCTAAAGAATGTTGTCTCGCCCACGCAAATATGTTTGCCGCCCTAGCTGAAGAAATTCCATGGAACGTGAACAGATAAGAGTGTTTGAGACACCTTGGTGATACTCAGGTTAATCTTATAAACTGATGAAGGAAATTACTGAGTTTTGTGCTTTTATATATCCTTGATGTTTTACATGTTTTAAATCAGGAGGGGGAGTACATGCTGCAAGAAAGGTAGTGGAATCCTATAGTGACATTTTTGGATGGGAGCTCGTGTTGATTTTGGATAGAACACCGCTGGTTACGTAAATTAATAATTAGCTAAGACATTTAATATGGTCCATCAAGTTATTTTCTCTGTTTTAAGAAACGTTGGGTTCATTATAAAAAGATGTGTCGGGTAAGCCTACGTTTTTGTAGGGCCACCTGAATACTTGCTATATTATATGTAAATATTGGCCATTGCATTACGAGAATTGGTAAGATCGAATAAAAAAAATAAATAAATAAACAGATAAATAAATAAATAGACCAAGAACCAGGGAATCTGACATTACTAATAGAGTACCATTCGTCATGGGTATTGTAAAGTAAAGTGAATTCTTGTCAGTACCGGGGAACGTTGTCAAACATAGTCGCATCATTATTAAAAATTAAATTAGCCATTCATAGACTCGTTGCTAGCCTAAAATCTAGCTTAAATAATATTTATCCCCGAGTATGGTGCTTCTTTAACGAAAGTGACCAGACGTTCAATAGCTCGATATCATGTCTCAGGGTTGTTGGTGTTGTTTGAGATTTAACGTCATTTTTCAGTACTAGATACATGGAGGCCAGTACATCTTGAGGAGGAAGAAACCAGAAAAATCATCGTGATTATCCGCCGACGCACGCAAAGCTATTGACAAGCTTTTTCACATGCTTGCACTGGACGAGTACGAAAATCGAACCCCTGCAGATGTAAGTAGGATGTCGGCGAGATGTAAAGTCGAGCTGCGAGACCACTCGACCAGCTGGGACATCGACTGAGGGTGTGTTACCATTCGTGCGTGAGTGTTTATCAATTCTTCTTATGAATGAGTGCAGAAGAAAATCATTTTTGACATTGATCACAATTAAACAATTGGTGTACTTGTATTCAATACTTATGTGTGGTTTTCGGGGTGGGTGAGAGATGCTGAGGGAGATGTTGATATTTTCTTTTGAGCTTGTATACTGTAGGTTTTCTTTTACGTTAACCTGAAGAATTTTCTGTCACCTTATGCAATGGATATGATAGGTTCGTTCTACTTCTATACATCAGACCAAGAAATTATTTAAGGATTTTTGAGAGCCAGAATTTTTTAACGACTTCTAATTGGTTAAATGACAGTAATGACGTTCAAGAAATAATGGTGGTATGAAGGGAGTGTGCACTGGAACAAATACATTTCCTAATAATCTGCCAGCTTATTATTTGTATTTGCCTTCCTTTCATCCTGGAGCCCCACGTGATATAACATAAGAAACTGGCGCTTGCCAAATCATCGTTTTCCCAATGAATATATCAAAATTGATATCCTCAATATTTTCACTAATAGAACTGTACTCTGCAGAAAACACAGTGCTTCGTCGCCTGTTGTGAGCATTATGGCTAATCTCTCTCTCTCTCTCTCTCTCTCTCTCTCTCTCTCTCTCTCTCTCTCTCTCTCTCTCTCTCTCTCTCTCTCTCTCTCTCTCTCTCTCTCTCTCTCTCTCTCTCATAAAAATCTATCGGTGAATCAATGATCAATATTAGGAATAATTTGATCGAATTGGTAGTGAAATATAATGTAAGATTTGCTCTGCCGTTTCATACACAAAATACACAAATCTGCATTGATCATTGATATTGTGAACACTTGGATTATAGATTGTAGCAACATACTGCTATTTCTACTGTATGAAAGATAATTTTATATATATTTATAGATATATATATATATATATATATATATATATATATATATATATATATATATATATATATATATATATATATATATATATATATATATATATATATATATATATCTCCTTTCGACCGCAGCTTCGCAGGTGCTTATAAACCACACTGACTATAATGTATGAAAACAGATTCCGGGACAGAAAAGGCGATGGCTTTTTAAAAGTATTTTTGTTTTAAATCAATCCTGGATAAGGATTTAGTAGTTATATTGGGAAGGTGGGAGAAACTCTTCTATCTTTATAAGTTTCATGGGAATGTGATGGGTGGGGAAGGGAGGGGGTCAATATCGATGGCTTATCAAAACATGTCCTATAAAACATAAAAAACCTTTTTAGTCTTATCTGGCAACAATACTTCCGCCTTCCACATTCTACAAATTTAAGTAGAAACGAATTTGGCTGTATTTCTCCTAGTCCGATTAATCAAACGCTTGAATTTGTGTAATATATGTGGTTTAAGATGTCACCAGTTTATTAAAATGTACAATTTTGCAGCACGCATATCATTCCGAAACACACCATCGTACATTTTAGATATTAACCAGCATTCGATAATAGTCAAATCTAGCGCGAAATGTAAAATATCCACAGGATAGATGATTGTGTTATTTCATGTTATTCCAAGTCGCCAAACACAGGATATTATCCGGAAATAGTATGTACATATCAACAAAAGAACTCTTCAGCAAAAGGTAGTTCAACAGCGGCAAGATATACCGATAAGTGTATAAAATGTA